TGATTATTTCAGTCACTTCCTTCTGGCAGGAGGCTGCGGTCCATCAGGATCAGAACCTCCTGTCACAAAAACAGTTTTTTCCCATCTGCTGCCGGCCTTATTAACAAGGCCAAGAGCCGCCCGTGACACTGAACAATGTTTCTCTCCCCCATTCAGGATTCCTGCGTTATATTAACGCACAGTCTACTGTGTGTATATAGCTTCTGTGTATATATATATATATATATATATTCTATCTTAATTTGTTTTTTGTCTGCACCAACAACATCAAGTCAAATTCCTTGTAAGTGCAAACCTACTTGGCAATAAACTTGATTCTGATTCTGATAAAGGCCCCCACTGATTGTCATCAAGGAGTAACAGCTGGAACCCATCAAGCCTGCCATCCTGTAAGTAAGCAAAAACACAAAGACCTAACAGACACATGGCGAAACCAAACAGGTCAAGCCTTCAGCATTGTTCATTTTAATGATTGACACATTAATGTTTTGAAAAAAAATATAAGAAAAACTCCTCACATATAAGCTTAGTGGCAACATAAAAAATGCATTTGTGTAAAAAGTATTTGGCAAGAACAATCAGCTTTAAGACTGTGTTGGAATCCACAGTACTGAGGACAACATTTTTATTTAAACCAAAACGTTTCAAATGACAAGAGAATAATACTACAACAACCTCCTTCCTATAAACTTAAGAAGGCCCTATTGGCCCTATAGGCATCTAGTGAATGGACAAAAAATTAAACCCTTAAAAATTATTGGAGGTAATGACTTTCTCTTACATGTTTGTGGGTTTCTTTAGAAAAGGGCATGTGTTGCTCTTTCAATATGTTTTACAACGTTACAGCCTGTCATCTATAAGTTAGGCATTAATGATATATGGATGTGGTAAACTTAAGATAAAGTTTATGCCTTGCCTGTTGACCAGACATTTTAATGCTTTAGAATTTGGATGTGAAAAACAAGGGCCTTATTGTTAACATAATTGGCCTGGACTAATCATTAACTTAGACCTAAAGATGATTCCTACTACTCCCTTCCACTCTGTTTCTGTGAATGTGAAATTTTGATTAACAATGATTAAATAATTTATACAAGCACAATACTCTTGCTGCAGCCAGGTGTCTGCGAGGAAAATCAATGTAATAATTGTCAGAAATCAGGTTGGTTTGCTCTTAACCAACAAAGTATTTAAAGACAGACTTGAGATAGTGTCTTATTATAAGGAGGGAATGGTTGCACAATGACCTACATAATTGGGAGCACTACAGATTTCACAGTTTCAGCAGGCAGTAACAGACAACCCATTAGTGCGGGTGAGCTACCAATGGAAGGTTTCTTCAAGGTTAACAGATAAGATAAAAAAAATGCCTTTACCCTCCCACAGCATGTAATACAGGTGTGTCTGTGGCAAAACAAGTAGAGAGAACACATAAAAACGTACACGCTGACTGACTGAATAATAAAAAAAGAAAAAAATGAAACAAAAGACTACATATAAAATTTTAACTGTACAGTTGAAGAAACAAAGACTCCATAGAGCGTTGCTCTCAGATCTTAGTGGTGAACTGGGTCCAGAGTTGGAGAGGCAAACCTGAAGGACTGGACCCACTCCATCCCTGTTCATCACATTTTAAACATGAGTAGGTCAATATCAGAGATGGGAAGTAACGAAGTACAAATACTGTACTCAAGTAGATTTTTCTGATATTTTTACTTTACTTTACTACTTATTTTTATGGCGACTTTTTACTTCTACTCCTTACATTTTTACACAAATATCTGTACTTTCTACTCTTTACATTTAAAAAAATTGGCTCGTTACTTTAGTTTTGAATCATTTCAGTGGAGTTACCGTTATTATTTTTCACATCATCAATACCAAATCCAATCTAATTGGATGGGAATCTACGTTGCATTTGACGCACCACTACAAGATGAATCGACAGATTCGGCGGTATTCATTGGCGGCAAATCATTGCAGCTTGGTGGCGGCGGCGTTAGCATAGTAGCATGGACGACGAGATGATTGAAAATGAACACAACTGAGATCTAGTCCTATTGGCAGACATCCATTTAAAATGTAGGCAACGGCATGAAAAAAGTGGTTTCTACTTTTACTTTGATACTTTAAGTAAATTTACAAGCCTGTACTTTGTTACTTTTACTTGAGTAAAGAAGTTTAATCAGTACTTCCACTTTTACCAGAGTATTTTTTAACACAAGTATCTGTACTTTTACTCAAGTACAGAAATTGAGTACTTTTGCCATCTCTGGTCAATATTCATAACACCAATATAAGCAAAAAAAAAAAAAAAAAAAAAAAAAAAAAAGATAAAGGCAGCCAGGATTAAAATGTATTTATGAATTATCCATGGGGCTCCTCATCTCCGAGGCCCCTTTGTGGGTGCTTCACGTCTCCAAGGCCCCTCCGTGGAATTCTATGGGAATTTGCCTTTGCTCACCTTTGGTATTTGCTTCAGACAGACCCCCCCCCCCCCCCCTGTAGGTTTTCATTTCGGGCTCTCTGTTATGCTTTATTTTTATGTTATTCTGAGTTGCCAAAATTTAATTCATTTTTGAGTTCTTAGTTTTACTCTTGCTTATTATCTCTTTTCAGCATTTTTGCTCTTATTTATTCCTTGGTCTAGTTTTAGTTAGTTATTCTTTCTCTTCTTGGGTTATGTTTTCCATGGCTTCATTTATCTCCAGTCCCTTTTCTTAACCTTTAGTTTTGCCCTTGGTTATTTCTTATTTTTTTGTAATTTGTTTGATTCCCCTTCAGCCTTATTTTATTTCTTTTCTAGTTACAGTTAAACCTTGTTTTCACTATTTACTCTTTGTTGCCCCCTAGTGCTCCTTTCCCTTAGCTCCTTTGTAGCTGCTTCTGTGCACAACTGATTACTCTACTCTTCGTTGTGTCTCCCATATATACTCCTTCTCTACAGTTACCCAGTGCTGGATTATCTTCATTTCTTCTTGTATTTTTCTCCTGAACTTTTCTAGTTTTTGGTTCTTGAGTTCCCAGCCTTTTTTTTTCTGGATTTATGTTTTTGTACCATCTACTGCAAGAACTACATCTGCCTCCTCTACTCTGCATATGGGTCCACAACAACATCCACCAATCCTCATACAGCCTTCTTCTAATGTATTATTCCGTGGTCATAGCCGCTATCTTTACGAACTCTGACTGGTTGTCATGGTTGAGGCTTATGGGGGCGCAGCATGCAGCAGGACAGGGGCAAGGAAAGCCAAAAAAGGTCGTCCAGAGGAGGGTAAAATAAGGAGATTTTTGGTTCGTGCTGCCCACCTAATCTGAGAGGAATTTTCCAGCACAAAAATATACTCTTGGGGCCTCATTGTTAATATTTTTTATTTTCAAATGTAGAATAATATGGGTCCTTTTGCGTCTTTTTGATTGTTTTTGTTAATGTATGCACCCATTCAGATCCTTGCAGTGAAATTATCTCCACGTCAGTGTGACGTTATTCGGATAGACAGTTTCAGTCTTGCTTAAATAATTTAATCTCATAGAACACGTAGTAAATGTAAACAAATATCATGTTCTGATCATTTTATTTAGTGTCCATGTAAACAGATTTCTAATTTCTGATCAACCAAGGTTTAGAACTGATCATGGAAATTTTGTGCATGTAAACGTAGCTAAATATGAAGATTCTGGTCTTCGGTTTTCTAGCAGAAGATGGAAACTAATGTTTATCTTTAGGCGTAGCAGACTAATCATAACTCTTCTGGGTTTTCCTCCTTCCACCTACCTTCCCAACTTTTGGACATTCTCAATTTAAATGCCTTTAGGATAAAAACCAAGATTATTGGAAGACAGTTTATTAACTTTTAGCTCCAAATTCTTCCAGTTTTCATCTTTTTCATTCAAGACGCCATCAACACTGCAAAAAATGGAAATCTAAATAAGTAATTCTTGCTCAAATTAAGTGCATTTTTTCTTGAATTGAGGAGGTAAGTGAGACACTTTGCCTAATGAACAAGATAATTTACATTTAAAATAAGAAAAACAACTGCTTTGTCTTTATTCAAGTGTTTATTATTTAATTATCTTATTTTAGGAGTAATAATACTCATTGCATTGGCAAATAATCTTATTTAATTGAGGGTAAATACACTTAATTTAAGAAATGTTTTACTTATGTCTAGATGTTTTTTGCAGTAAATGATAATGTTCTTCCTCCTCAGCTTATTCTCAGTATGGTCCAGTTTTGTGGACACATGTCCTTCACTTCCTGTTTGTAACCAGTTTATTCTCCCAATCTTTTAATTTAGCTTCAGATTTTGTTTGTGTTGAATTCATCTCCTCCATTTCGTCCAATGTGAACTTCAGGCTTTGTACTTCTTTAATCACAATACAGAAGAAGAAGAAGTTCTCCTGCTGCTGGGTCAGCAAATCTTTAAATATTTATTTTTATCATTTCCAACATCTTGTGAGGAAGGAAGTAGAGACAAAATGAATCAAATGAATCCACTTTTCAGTCGAGGCCTATCACGCCTTGCCGTCTGGATGTTTCCTATATCAGATTCCTGGTTTGGCTCTGATGTAGTTCATAAATATGAACAAAAAAATAGAGACCAATGTCACTTTATTACAAAGTGTGCATAATCTGATAAAGGTGTGACTGGATCAATGTGATATTTGGTAGATTCAGACCAGCAACTCACTCAGAGGTATAGTATGGCAGCCATTTTCAGCTGTCCTACCATACCTGCTAAGTTTGAATTCAACAAGAAACAAACAGAATAATCAGAGTCTAAAATGAAGTGACTGATCAAATCTGTGTCTCCATCCAATCACAGGAGTAGATCTGTACAGACAGCAGAGCCCAAGACATGATAAAGATGTGAGAACTGCTGTCTGAAAACAAGTCAAACTGAGAAGGTTCCGCACCTCTATGCTCTATTAATCACCTGTCTCTATGAAGATATGCTGCTGTTTGAAACATAGATGTTCATAATAATCGGTCTTATTTATTAGGACTTGTCAGTTTGAATTCATTGTTCTGCTTCATTTTGGATCATTTCCAAAGAGAAAACAGCAGTTCTGTTGTTTTACTTTAATGAACAGCTGATTGGAGCATCAACAATCAGAGATTGAACATTTTCCTCTTCAGCTTTGATTTATGATTTATTGTGCATTTACCAACATAAACAGATCCATGTGACGATCAATATTCTGGATTATAGAATCTATTTGTATCATTATAAAACTTTAAAAGTTTTCAGTGAGGTGAGTTTAACTAAAGTGAAAACATAGAAATATAAAAAATAGAATTAAACAACCTGAGATTTTCCAAGATCAATAATAGCACAAACTATTTATATTTATCTATTTTTTAAGTAGAAACTAAACAGTAGAAACAATTCAAAAAACATTCGATGAGACGAAAATATTTTTTCAAATAAATGAAATTATTAAATCAATTTCCATGTATTTCAGGAATAGATCTTATAATAGAAATGTATATTGTGACAAACTTTAAAGATTCACACTGAACTGAAATAATCAACAGAATAAAATAAAAAAAAAATACCTTGAAATGAGTTTAACATTGTAATATGTAAAATTAATAAAGAAGTCAAGAAAATTAAAAAAACTAAACAATCTCATTGCTCAGAGGTTGCGGACAAAACGAAAGATGACTTTACATTTTGGTTTATAATCAAATAAATTTAAATTCAAATTTAAGTTGAACAATAATTTCCTGACATGGAAAAAAAGTATTTACCAAATAACTTTCATCACTTTAAAGTTAACTTGTCCAAAAATAACAAAGAAACCTCAGATTAACTGATTTTGATGTCAGATGTTTTAGCATCATCAGCATCTCCAACACCCAAAATAAGAAAAAGTTTCTCAGTGAAAGTGTCTCTGTGAGTGTAGATGTTGGACATGTCTTCAGGGTCGTAGAAGGACACCTCCCCCCTGTCATAGTCCAGCTGGACTCTGATCCTCTGGAGACTCTTCTTCACTGTGAGAGTCTGACCAGCACCATTAGTGTATTTTCCATCACCGTGCCACAAACACCAGATTCCATATTTTGGTGAAGTCTTTATCTCTCCCTTCCTGTCAACAAACTCTTTGACCAAACCAACACTCCACATAGGATGATCTCCAACCTCCACCTCCCAGCTGTGTTTCCCTGAGCTGAAGCCCTCAGAACCAATAACAGATGTGTAATAAGTGTTTCTCTCTGGATTATCAGGAAGCTGCTGCTTTGTGTCTCCATGTCTCACACTGGTCAGATCATCAGACAGATACAACCATCCACTAGCAGTGTTTGGGTCCAGAATGACAGGACAGAAGTGGACCTTGTCCTTCATCTTCTCCCAGACTCTGAAGGACAGGTTGCCCAGGTGTTTGGCCACATCTATCAGAGCTCCTGAGAGCAGCTGTGGATCTGACAGTGAGCTCTGGGCTCTGGCTCTGCTCTGAGTGGCTTTATAACTGCTGAGGAACGACACCTGGTCTTTCTGCAGGTCTTCTTCAACAGCAGAGATACTGTGAGATAGAGAGGAGATCTGATCCTGAATCCTCTTCATCTCTCTGCTGATAGTCTTCCCCTTCTGCTCCTCTTCCTCCCTCAGAGCTGCCAGTCTGGACTCCTCTTCCTCTCTCAGAAACTGACAGAGCTTGTTGAACTCTTCTCTGATCTGTCTCTCTGTGGACAACAGCTGCTTCTTAGAGTGTTGAATCACATCATTGTATGTTTTCTCCACCTGTTTGTGTTTGTTCCTCTTGTCCTGCAGAGACTTTAAGTCAGATTTCAGCTGCTCCTTCAGCTCACTGACTGCTTGTTCTATAAAAACCACTTTGTGACTCTGATGGAGAGAAAACTCACAGACAGAACACACAGCTCTCTGCTCGTCTTTACAGAACAGTTTAGGGTCTTCTTGGTGTTTACTGCAGACCACCAGCAGCTGCTTTTCTCCTCTTTCTCTCTCAGATGATCCAGATTTCTGTCTTCCAGCAAATGAATCAGCCACTTCCTTCAGACCAAAATTGACATCTTTGTGATCCTTGGAAGATCTTCTTTTACAGACGGGACAGTTCTTGTATCCAGTTTGTTCCCAGAATTTCTTCAGGCAGCTTGAACAGAAGCTGTGGTTGCAGCTCAGGGACACAGGATCTCTGAAAGTCTGTGAACACACATGGCAGCTCAGGAAACTTTCCAAAACTCTTTCAGTCATTTTTTAACAAATTATTTCAACAGCAGGACTCAACAAAGTTTCAGCTTTTTCGTAAAATCCTCCAAACATTTCTTTTGTTTTCCAGCAGAGATCTAACACCCAGTAATGGCGACTCAGCTCAGTTCAATAACATCTGAAAATACTTTCAGATTCTTAAACCTGTTTGTCAAGCTTTATATCAAACAATCTGCAGTGTTGGTTTGCCTCCAGCAGGCGGTGCTGTTGGAGCATTTTCACAGCTGAACGGTGGGACTGTACAGGAGGAATAAAACCTTTTTTTTTTTCATTTGTCTTGTTTATCCTTGATAAAAACAGACCGAAATAATTATTTTCTTACTATTCTAACCTAATTTTACACATTCAACACGACACTAAGCAAATATATTTAGAAAGACAAACATCTTTAAAGACAGAATTTTACTTCCACTTCCAAAAGCAGTGGAAGCTTTCATAAGACACATCAACTCGGTTGACCACAACATCCAGTTCACCAGAGAGGATGCCAACAACAACGAGCTACCTTCCCTGGACTGTTTGGTGAGCATGGAAGGAGATGGAAATCTCAACATTAAAGTCTATAGAAAATCCACTCCCACAGACCAATACCTTCTTTTTGACTCACACCACCCACTGGAACACAAAGTTTCAGTCATCAGAACCTTACACCATGGTGCTGAGCATGTCCCTACTAAAACAGAAGGGAAGCACAAAGAACAGAAACACATCAAAGATGCTCTTCAAACCTGTGGATACCGTTTGTCAAATCAGCAATGAAACCCAAAAAGACATGCAGCAGAAAATAACGGTGAGGAGTTTAAATGCAAAAACATCACCATCCAATAAGTTGCTAGAGTCTCTGAAAAACTCAAGAGGATTTTCTTCAACAACGTCTCTATTCTTCGATAAATGCTGTTCATCTGATGAGACCGACTTTCATTTAATCCCAGGATGTTCTGATCAATCTGAATAAAGCTGTCTCCATTATATTTCTGAATGGTTGCTCATTTTTATTCAAACTTCTGCAGTAGGATGCACAGAAGAGGATTAGGGCCACTGAAAAAATGAAAAAAATTTAACTGATTTTTAAATTTTATTTCTGTATAATATAAGAAAAAAGTCAGGATTCAAAATTTAAAGTCAGAATTCTGAAGAAAAAAGTCTGAATTCTGAGATTAAAGTCAGAATTCTGAGATTAAAGTCAGAAAGTCAAAATTCTGAGAAAAAAGTCAGAATTCTGGAATTAAAATCAGAATTATGAGATTAAAGTCAGAATTCTGAGAAAAAGAAGTCAGAATTCTGAGATTAACGTCAGAATTCTGAGATTAATGTCAGAATTCTGAGAAAAAAAGAATTCCGAGAAAAAAGTCAAAATTCTGAGAAAAAAGTCAGAATTCTGAGATTAAAGTCAGAATTCTGAGAAAAAAAGAATTCAGAGAAAAAAGTCAAAATTCTGAGATGAAATTCAGAATTCTGAGATTAATGTCAGAATTCTGAGATTAAAGTCAGAAAGTCAAAATTCTGAGAAAAAAGTCAAATTCTGAAATTAAAATCAGAATTCTGAGAATAAAGTCAGAATTCTGGGATTAAAATCAGAATTTTGAGATTAAAGTCAGAATCCTGAGTAAAAAGTCAGAATTCTGAGATTAAAGTCAAAATTCTGAGAAAAAAGTCGGAATTCTGAGATTAAAGTCAGAATTCTGAGATTAAAGTCAGAATTCTGAGAAAAAGAAGTCAGAATTCTGAGATTAACGTCAGAATTCTGAGATTAATGTCAGAATTCTGAGAAAAAAAGAATTCCGAGAAAAAAGTCAAAATTCTGAGAAAAAAGTCAGAATTCTGAGATTAAAGTCAGAATTCTGAGAAAAAAAGAATTCAGAGAAAAAAGTCAAAATTCTGAGATGAAATTCAGAATTCTGAGATTAATGTCAGAATTCTGAGATTAAAGTCAGAAAGTCCAAAATTCTGAGAAAAAAGTCAAATTCTGAAATTAAAATCAGAATTCCTGAGAATTAAAGTCAGAATTCTGGGATTAAAAATCAGGAAATTTGAGATTTAAAGTCTGTATCCTGAGTTATTTTTAAAAAGTCCAGAATTTGAGGATTAAGTCATAAATTCTGAGAGAAAAAAAGTTCGGAATTCTGAGATTATGTCAGAATTCTGGAGAAAAAAAGAATTCGAGAAAAAAGTCAAAATTCTGAGAAAAAAGTCTGAATTCATGAGATTAAGTCAGAATTCTGAGAAAAAAAAGAATCAGAGAAAAAAGTCAAATTCTGAGATGAAATTCAGAAATTCTGAGATTATGTCAGAATTCTGAGATTAAAGTCAGAAAGTCAAAAATTCTGAGAAAAAAGTTCAAAAATTCTGAAATTTAAAATCTGAATTCTGAGGAATGAGTCAGGAAATTCTGGGATTAAAATCAGAATTGTGAGAATTATTAAAGTCGAATCTGAGTTAAAAAGTCAGAATTCTGAGATTAAAGTCAAAATTCTGAGAAAAAAGTCGGAATTCTGAGATTAAAGTCAGAATTCTGAGATTAAAGTCAGAATTCTGAGAAAAAGAAGTCAGAATTCTGAGATTAACGTCAGAATTCTGAGATTAATGTCAGAATTCTGAGAAAAAAAGAATTCCGAGAAAAAAGTCAAAATTCTGAGAAAAAAGTCAGAATTCTGAGATTAAAGTCAGAATTCTGAGAAAAAAAGAATTCAGAGAAAAAAGTCAAAATTCTGAGATGAAATTCAGAATTCTGAGATTAATGTCAGAATTCTGAGATTAAAGTCAGAAAGTCAAAATTCTGAGAAAAAAGTCAAATTCTGAAATTAAAATCAGAATTCTGAGAATAAAGTCAGAATTCTGGGATTAAAATCAGAATTTTGAGATTAAAGTCAGAATCCTGAGTAAAAAGTCAGAATTCTGAGATTAAAGTCAAAATTCTGAGAAAAAAGTCGGAATTCTGAGATTAAAGTCAGAATTCTGAGATTAAAGTCAGAATTCTGAGAAAAAGAAGTCAGAATTCTGAGATTAACGTCAGAATTCTGAGATTAATGTCAGAATTCTGAGAAAAAAAGAATTCCGAGAAAAAAGTCAAAATTCTGAGAAAAAAGTCAGAATTCTGAGATTAAAGTCAGAATTCTGAGAAAAAAAGAATTCAGAGAAAAAAGTCAAAATTCTGAGATGAAATTCAGAATTCTGAGATTAATGTCAGAATTCTGAGATTAAAGTCAGAAAGTCAAAATTCTGAGAAAAAAGTCAAATTCTGAAATTAAAATCAGAATTCTGAGAATAAAGTCAGAATTCTGGGATTAAAATCAGAATTTTGAGATTAAAGTCAGAATCCTGAGAAAAAAGTCAGAATTCTGAGATTAAAGTCAAAATTCTGAGAAAAAAGTCGGAATTCTGAGATTAAAGTCAGAATTCTGAGATTTCCGTAAGGATGTCTTCCAGGTCTGATTATGTACTAGTTCTCAGTCACCAAAATCTGTTTTATCAAACACAGTGAAGCTTTGAGTCTGCAGTATCAGGTGATGTTTTCAAAAAATAGGATTATCTCTGCTGTGTGTATTTTTCTCCAGCAGATGGCGCCGGGAGATCATAACTGATCGTTTTGTTTTTCTTGGTCATCATCAAATCTTTCAGTACAAGGAAAGATTTTTCTCCAATACTTAATGTGTTTTAGTTTCAGGTCACTAATAAACCTTTAAGAACACATACATATATATATATATATATATATATATATATATATATATATATATATATATATATATATAAAATCAAAATTGAGGGACAAACAAATTGAGGGACAAACAAATTGAGGGACAAACAAAATTGAGGGAAGATCTTTCCGGAACCTTCATGTTTCTTCTATCTGATCATTAAAAAATAAAAAAAATATTTTACTGCACAAAGAAACACTGATTTGAAAATGCAAAATAATAATGGACTGAAAAACTCAACTATGAAATTTAAAAGAGAAATCTCTGTTTCTCATATCTTAACTTCAGGGGTCTGTTTCACGAAGTAGGTTTAAAAAATCCAGATTCAAATCTGCAATAATAAATTGATCTAGCCTAAAGCCGGGAACTGTCAATGTTAGCTTTCACAAAGGCTGCTATGAATTAGTTCAATCAATCAATTTTAACTAGGTCCACTCAGAGTTAATCACGTGCACAAGAAGTATGAAAAGCCATTACCAGTGGAGCCCCGATTCAACTAGTCACCATGACAACAGGCAACAGGAAGTGCCTATTTGACCCCACTGGAACTCGAGATTTTAATGTAGAAATGCAAAAAATATTACAAAAAAGGAGAATGTATTTAAAAGACAGAGAAACAGATCTATAGCTACAAAGGAGAGAAAGATGGCGAAGGAGAAGATTTTTGCTCGAGTTAATGGTAAATGGTTATATGGAGTGGGCTATTTCATTTAAAAACATTTTTTCTATTTATCTCAACATATATTTGCCTATTTATTCATCTTTAGTCCTCCATATATCCTAAGTACGGAAGAGGATTAGGCCCACTGAAAAAAATTTAAAAAGCTTGACTAATGTTGTAATATTATTTCAGTTTAATATGGGAAAGAATTCTGAATTTAATTCAAGAATTCTGAATTTTTCTCAGAATTCCGACTTTTTCTCAGGATTCTGACTTTAATCAGTCTTTCAGTCTGCGTAGTTGACTTGGGTCTGCGTGCGCAAGAGGGCTCGGCTGTGACGTAGCACTAGCTCCGCCCATAACAGGAAGTGTCCGTTTTCTCAGACACTGCGATGAGCTGATGGAAATTTTTGAGCTGCGACGTCAATAGAATCGAGTTTTTCATTTGGAAAACCCAGAACTGCTTCTGTCGGAGATTCTCCACTGCTGATCGGAAGGTGTAAATAAATCAGAGGAGTCACCGCAGCGCCATGTGTGAGCTGTGAAGGAGAAGCTGTGGGATTTGTTGTTGTTGTGGGCTAAGAGTCATCCTGCTAACGGTGAAGAAGTTGAGCTCTACAGATACGGAGCATCTCTTAACGCCCAGCTTTTAAATAAAGGTAAATGTGGGAACAGATCGTAGAAACAGGAAGAACTTAAGCTGTTATTATGTCGTTTTTCACCTCTCTAGCATCCCGCTGACTCTTCCTCCCTTACCCCTCCTCTTCCCTTTTGAATGAGATCATCAAAACAAGCCTAAACATCTTCCTCAGTTGATGGCATTATTTCCTACACCTCCAACATGGTTTCATAAAAGCCTCTGCAGCTGTCACCTGTTATTCTGCAGGATGCCTAAGGAGGGAGACCGCTCTGAGGGCAGAGGAGATGAGGAGTTAAAGGATGTGTCTGAGGGGAATGCAGTGAAGAGGAGCAGGGCCAACACACCGAGCCCCCACAGAGGAAACACTCCACAAGGTGAAGAAACGGTTCAGCATCAGTTCAAAAGAATATCATGGGAATCATTTTGGTTCATCAGGTTATATTAGTGAATCTGACTAATTAAAAACATATTTCATTGCAGACATTTATGAGAGGTATATATGTAATCTCAGAATCCTGACTTTTTTCTCAGGATTCTGACTTTAATCTCAGAATTTTGACTTTAATCTCAGAATTCAGACTTTTTTCTCAGGATTCTGACTTTAATCTCATAATTCAGACTTTTTTCTCATAATTCTGACTGTTTTCTAAGGATTCTGACTTTAATCTAATATTTATGACTTTTTTCTCATTAATTCTGACTTTTTTCTCAGATTCTGACTTCAATCTCAGGAATGCTGAACTTTTTCTCTCAGAATGCTGACTTTTTTCTCAGGATTCAGAACTTTTTTCTTTAAAATTCTGAATTCTTTTTTCTCAGGATCTGACTTTCAATCTCAGAATGCTGACTTTTTCTATCAGAATGCTGACTTTTTCTCAGATTCTGCGTTTGATCCTCTGGGAATCTGAGTTTTGATCTATATTCTGACTTTTTCTCAGGATTTGAACCACTTCAATCTCAGAATGTGACTTTTTTTCAGAATGCTGACTTTTTTCTCAGGATTCTGACTTTTTTCTCAGAATGCTGACTTTTTTTTTTTTCTCAGGATTCTGAGGTGTTTTCTGATCTCAGGATTATGATTGATCTTCTAGTCTGACTTTTTCTAAGAATGCTGACTTAAGACTCAGGGATCTCTGGACTTTTTCTCAGGATTCTGAGTTGATCTCAGGAAACTGAGTTGATCTCATTGTTCTGAACTTTTTCTTCTCTGAATGCTTGACTTTTTTTCAGAATTGCTGACTTTAATATCAGGTTTCTGACCTTTTTTCTTCAGGATTCTGACTTCAAATCTCAGAATTCTGACTTTTTTCTCAGGATTCTGACTCCTTTTTTCTCAGGAATTCTGACTTCAATCTCAGAATTCTGACTTTTTTCTCAGGATTTGACTTCTATCTCCAGAATTCTGACTATTTTTCAGGATTCTGAACTTTTTTTCAGGATTCTGACTTCAATCACAGAATTCTGATCTTTTTTTCTCAGGATTATGACTTCAATACTCAGAATTCTGACTTTTTTTTCTCAGGATTCTGACCCTCTCCTTTTCCCTCTTTTTCTCAAGGAGGATTCTGACTTCAATCTCCAGAATTCTGACTTTTTACTCAGGATTCTGACATTCAATCTCAGAATATCTGATTTTTTTCTCAGGATTCTGACTTTTTTCTCAGGGATTCTGACTTTTTCTTCTCAGGATTCTGACTTTTTCTCAGTGATTCTGACTTTTTTTTCAGGGATTCTAAATTTATTCTTCAGAATTCTGAACCTTTTTTTCTCAGGATGTCTGAGTTTGATCTCAGGATTTGAGTTTGATCTCATAGTTCTGACTTTTTCTCATCAGACTGCTGACTTTTTTCTCAGAAATGCTGATTTAATATCAGGATTCTCGACTTTTTTCTCAGGATTCTGACTTTTTTTCTAGGATTCTGACTTTTTTTCTGGATTCTGAATTCAATTCTGAATCTGACTTTTTCTTCAGAATGCTGACTTTTTTCTCAGGATTCTGCGTTTGATCTCAGGTTTCTGCGTTTGATCTCATAGTTCGACTTTTTCTCTCAGAATGCTGACCTTTTTTTCTCAGAATGCTGATTTAATATCAGGATTCTGACTTTAATTAATAATTCTGATTTTTTCTCATAATTCTGACTTTTTTTTTTTCCGGATTCTGACTTGTAATCTCATATTCTGACTTTTTTTTACTCAGGAATGCTGACTTTAATATCAGAATTCTTACTTTCTTCTCAGGATTCTAAATTTATTCTCTGAAATTCTGACATTGTTTGCTCAGGATTTGACTTTATCTATTGTTCTGACTTTTTCTCTCAGAATGCTGATTTTAATTTCAGAATTCTTACTTTCTTCTCAGGATTCTAAATTTATTCTTCAGAATTCTGACTTTTTCTCAGGATTATGACTTTTTTTTCAGCCAAGGGATTCTGAGTTTGATCTCAGGATTCTGAGTTGATCTCATTAGTTATGGACTTTTTCTCTCAGAATGATGACTTTTTTCTCAGAATGCTGATTTAATCTCAGAAATTCTGACTCTTTTTCTCATATTCTGACTTTTTTCAGGATTTGGAAGTTTATATTCATATTCTGTATTTTTCTCTCAGGAATGCTGACTTTAATATCGAATTCTTACCTTTCTTCTAAGGATTTAAATTTTATTCTCAGAAATTTGACTTTTTTCTCTGGATTCTTGACCTTTTTTTCTCAGGATTCTGGAGTATGATCTCAGGATTCTGACTTTAATATTCAGAATTCAGATTTTTTCTCATATTCTGACTTTTTTCTCAGGATCTGAATTAAATCTAATAATTCTGACTTTTTTCTCATAATTTCTGACTCTTTTTTTCAGGAATTCTGACTTTTAATTCATAATTCTGGCTTTTTTTCTCAGATGCTGACTTTAATATCAGAATTCTTACTTTCTTCTCAGGATTCTAATTTTATTTCTCAGAATTCTGACTTGTTCTCAGAATGCTGGGACTTTTTCTCTGGATTCTGAGTTTGATCTCATAGTTCTGACTTTTTCTCTCAGAATGCTGACTTTTTTCTCAGAATGCTGATTTAATCTCAGAATTCTGACTTTTTTTCTCAGGATTCTGACTTTAATCTCAGAATTTTGACTTTAATCTCAGAATTCAGACTTTTTTCTCAGGATTCTGACTTTAATCTCATAATTCAGACTTTTTTCTCATAATTCTGACTTTTTTCTCAGGATTCTGACTTTAATCTAATAATTCTGACTTTTTTCTCATAATTCTGACTTTTTTCTCAGGATTCTGACTTTCAATCTCTTCAATTTGACTTTTTCTCATAATTCTGACTTTTTTTCTCAGGATTCTGACTGTGAATCTCATATTTCTGACTTTTTCTGAGGAATGCTGACTTTAATATACAGAATTCTTACTTCTTCTAGGATTCTAAATTTATTATCAGAATCTGACTTTTTTCTCAGGATTCTGACTTTTTCTCAGGATTCTGAGTTTGATCTCAGATTCTGAGTTTGTGATCCAGGATTCTGAGTTTGTCTCGGATTTCTGAGTTTTATTTTTGATCTCATTAGTTCTGATTCTTTTTCTCTCCAGAATGCTGACTTTTTTTTTCTCAGAGAATGCTTGATTTTAATATCAGAGATTCTGACTTTTTTCTCAGGGATTCTGACTTCAATCTCAGAATTCTGACTTTTTTTCTCAGGATTCTGACTTTTTCTCCAGGATCTGAGTTGGATATCAGGATTCTGAGTTTGATCTCATAGTTCTGACTTTTTCTCTCAGAATGCTGATTTTTTTCTCAGAATGGATGATTTAATATCAGGATTCTGACTTTTTTCTTCAGGATTCTGACTTCAATCTCAGGATTCTGAGTTTGATCTATAGTTCTGGACTTTTTCTCTCTGAATGCTGACTTTTTTCTCAGAATGCTGATTTAATATCAGGATTCTGACTTTTTTCTCAGGATTTCTGAGTTTGATCTCATAGTTCTGACTTTTTCTCTCAGAATGCTGACTTTTTTCTCAGAATGTGATTTAATATCAGGTTGTCTGACTTTTTTTCTCGGATTCTGAGTTTGATTTCCCTCAGGATTTGAGTTTGATTCTCATAGTTCTGCCTTTTTCCTCTCAGAATGCTGAACTTTTTTCTCAGGAAATGCTGACTTAATATCAGGATTCTGACTTTTTTTCTCAGGTTTCTGACTTTTCTCTCAGAATGCTGACTTTTTTCTCAGAATGCTGACTTATATCAGGATTCTGACTTTTTTCTCAGGATTCTGACTTTTCAATCTCAGAAATTCTGACTTTTTTCTCGAGGATGCTGCTTTTTTCTCAAGGGATTCTGTAGTTGATCTCAGGATTCTGAGTTAGATCTCAATAGTTCTGGACTTTTTCTCTCGAGGAATGCTGACTTTTCTAGGATCTGACTTTTTTTCTCAGGATTCTGACTTTTTTCTCAGGAGGGATTCTGACTTTTTTCTCAGGATTCTGAGTTGATCTCGGATTCTGAGTTTTGATCTCATAGATTCTGACATTTTGTTCTCTCAGAATGCTGACTTTTTTCTCAGAATACTGATTTTATATCAGGATCTGACTTCAATCTCAGAATTCTGACTTTTTTTTCTCAGGATTCTGACTTTTTTCTCAGGATTCTGAACTTCTAATCAATATTCTTGACTTTTTTTCTCAGGATTCTGAGTTTGATCTCATAGTTCTGACTTTTTCTCTCAGATGCTGACTTTTTTTCAGAATGCTGATTTAATATCAGGATCTGATTTAATCTAATAATCTGATTTTTTCTCTAATTCTGACTTTTTCTCAGAATTCTGACTTTAATTAATAATTTCTGACTTTTTTCTCATAATTCTGATTTTTTCTCAGGATTCTGACTTTAATCTCATATATTCAGAGCTTTTTTCTCCATATTTCATTTTTTTATGACTCTTTTTCTCAGGATTCTGACTTTTATTAATAATTCTGATTTTTTATCATAATTCTGACTTTGTTCTCAGGATTCTGACTTTAATCTATAATTCTGAATTTTTTCTCAGAATGCTGACTTTAATATCAGAATTTCCTTATTTACTTTCTCAAGGATTCTAAATTTATTCTCAGAATTCTGAATTTTTTTTCAGGATTCTGAGTATTGATCTCAGATTCTGAGTTTTGATCTTCTAGGAGTTCTGACTTTTTCTCTCAGAATTGCTGACTTTTTTCTCAGAATGCGACTTAATATCAGGTATTTCTGACTTTTTTCTCTGGATATGACTTCAATATCAGAATTCTGACTTTTTTTCTCTGGATTCTGACTTTTTTCTAGATTTCTGGGACATAATTCAGGATTCTGACTTTTTTCTCAGGATTCTGACTTTTTTCTCAGGATTT